GGAGAGGTCCCTAACAGCAGACCTTCCCATCGCAATACATATGATTAGCCCCCTTCAAAATGTTCATGTCAGAAGCAGGTTCAGAGAATGAACAATTCCTTCAAACTCCTCAGTAAAACTTTTTGGCGTGTTTTTTTTTCCCCTTGGGAATTCTAGCAAAACTGTCAGTCAGCTATGCATAAAGACATTTTAGACACATAGTCTAGGTTATCAGAGGTCTTGCAGGTGATAACAGTTCAGCACCAACTCATAGCAACCCCATGGACAACAAGGTCCAAACCACCTGATCCTACACTGTCCTCACATTCGCCCTGTGCTTTAGCCTCTGTGTCATTTCATCTTGTAAAAGGAGTGAGGGCAGCACGGGGACAGCGTTAGTGACCTCCAGTAAATCCACTAGGGGGAACTGTCCTCATAAACAAGATCCACCATACAAAACCAATTCCCATTAGGTTACACAGGTTCTCATGACCTTGCACCTACTTCTGCTACTTCCAGTGCCACACTTACTGCTCTGGCGTTGTTCTCAGGTGTTGTAGAACACATTCCAACAACAGCAAAGATGATGGAAGAAGCAGCAATGCTCTTCATTTGAATCAGTGCCTTTGAAACCAATGAGCTGTGATAGTGGAGAAGAGTGTTGAATAGTCCATGGATTGTCAAAAGAACAAACAGTTCTGTCCTGCAGAAAGTGAAACGAGGGGCCTCCTTAGAGGCAAGGAGAGGGAAACCTGGTCTCACAAACTTTGGGCATACGACGGTAGGAGAGATCAGTCCTTGATAAAGGACTTCAAGGAAAGGTCAAGGAGCGGAAGACTGAGAATAGGACTCACAAAGTGACTGTAACGATGGACTCAGGCATGTCAGAGAGGATGAGGAGAGGGGAGGGTTCATATCGGTTGGTCACTAGGAATCACAGGCTGAGTTTATTCTTTAATCAGACATTATTGCCCTTCAGCCGTTTGGAGACGTCCCTGACAGCAGATGTTTCCAAAGCAATACTGTCCTTTGATTTCTTGACTGCAGGTATCAAGGGTGTTGATTGTGGATACAAGTCGGATGAAATCATTGACAATTTCTATCATTGTTTATTTGCCCCAGTGGTTAGAATTTTTGTTTTCTTGATGTTGAGCTGTAATCCATATTGAAGGATGTAGTCTTTGATCTTCTGCAACAAGGGTTTCAAGACGTCTTCATTTTCAGCAAGGAGAATAGTGTCATCTGCATATTACAGGTTATTGATGAGTCTTCCTCTGATCTTTCTGCCTCATTCTTCTTCATTAAGTCCAGCTTCTCTAATGATTTGCTCAGTGTACTTACTGAATAGTAACGGAGAAAGAATACAACTCTGATGCACACCTTTCCTGATTTTAAACCATGCAGCATTCCCTTGTCCTGTTCGGACAACCACCTCTTGATCTAGGTTTAAATTTTTCTTGAGCATAATGAAGTGTTCTGTGACTCCCACAGACTCTCTAAAAAGACTGAGACTTTTATTGGTTTCAGAAATATAAGAACACCTTTATTTCAAATCATTGATTCATTACTAAACCGAGTAGAGACTTCAATGATCACACATAATTATGTAATAATTATAGTAATAAGAGAATTTACAAAATTAGTTCAGAGACTGTGCAAACAAAAACACATAAAAAGCTCTGAAAACAAAAGCCCTAGCTGGGGTAGAAGAAGAATCTGATTTGAGTTTCTACATTATATTATTAAAAATACCTATTTATCAACAATAACAATTGCAAAATCAAAGCACACAAACAAGAACAGCTCATAGACATGGGAAAAGACACAATAGGAATTGAAGCACTTGATGCACAAGATTTTTAAGTCAGGTAATTTAAACATAAGCTGATTTAAAACCCAGCTGAATTTAGAAACCACCTTAAGAATAGATAATGCAGTGAATATTAATGACCAAAAACCAGAAGAGTGGTGGAATGACATCAAGGATGTCATCTATGAAGAAAGCAAAAGGTCATTTAAACAATATGGGAAGAACCTAAAACCAGGAAAGCATAAAGTAGATGAATGGAACCTTCTAAAAATCAAGTCCCTGTGCCCATCAAAAAACTTCTCCAACAAGATGAAAAGGAAGCACACAGACTGGGAAAAAATATTTGACAATGACATATCTGATAAGGGACACTCTAAAATGTATAGAATACTCCAGCACCTCAACAAGAAAAAGGTAAATAATCCAATTGTAAAATGGGTACAGAATATGAATAGACACTTCACCAAAGAAGACATTCAGATGGCAAACACATGAAAAAAAAAATCCCTAGTTCTCAGAGAGATGTAATTCAAAACTACTGTGAGAAATTGTTTCACCCAAGCAACAATAGCAAAGTTCAACAGGCAGCAGACAACAAATGCTGTCAGAGTTGTGGAGAGACTGGAACACTACTTATTCACTGCTGATGGGAATGTAAAGTGATGCAACCACTATGGAAGGCAGTCTAGTGCTTCCTCAAAAAGTTGGACATATTATTAATATCATTTTACCCAGGAATTCTACTGGGAACATATCCCAAAGAAACCAGAGCTGTGACTCAAACAGATATATGCACATCCATGTTTATTGCTGTGTTATTCACAATAGCAAAGAGATGGAAATAACCCAAGTGCCTGTCAAAAAACAAATGGATAGAAAACTTATGGTACATTCACACGATGAAATATTATACAATAGTGAAAAACAATGAACTTGTTAAACACTGCACAACATGGGTGAGTTTCAAAGACATTATACTAAATGAAATATTTCAGTTACAAAAGGACAAATATAGCAAAATACCGCTGTCAATAAAATAGGACTGATATGGGGGATGGGGGAATAGAAAAAGAGTAGATAGATAATGGACACTGCATTGAAACAGGTGAAGGGATGAACTGTCTGAAAGGAATAGATGATTAGGCATTATAGGTATGAAAACAATCTGGAACAAGAGGTGTATTGAAAAGTGGACTGGGGGTGGAAGAGGGAGGGAAGAAAATGCACAACTAATGAATAAAACATTTTTGGGGGGGAAAAAGGAAGAAAAACAACTATGAGATATTATTTCACCCCAGTAAGGATAGCAAAATTTAACAGAACAGCAAACAACAAATGCTGGTGAGGCTGTGGAGAAACTGGAACCCTTATTCACTGCTGGTGGGAGTGTAAAATGGTGCAACCACTGTGGAAGGTTGTATGGCACTTTCTCAAAAAGTTGCAAACAGAAATACCATTTGACCCAGCAATTCCACTACTGGAAACATATCCAAAAGAAACCATAACCGCCACTCAAGCAGATATATGCACACCCATGTTTATCGCAGCTTTGTTCACAATAGCAAAGATTTGGAAATAATCCAAGTGCCCATCAACAAATGAATGGGTAGAGAAACTGTGGTATATTCACACAATGGAATACTACACTGCATTGAAAAACAAGGAACTCATGCAACATTATACAAAATTGAGTGAAAATATCTCAGTCACAAAAGGACAAATACTGCATGGTGGCACTGTTGTAAAACAGGACTGACATTGGGGTTGGAGGGAGACTGAGAAAGATGGGATAAATACTGTAGACTGCATTGAAACAGATGAGGGGGAGAACTGTTCAAAAGGGATATGTGATTAGGTATTATTGTCATGACAGGAGTCCAGAACGAAGGCTGCATAGTGGAGTGGACTTGGGGGGAGGGATTGTAAAACAATGAAAGAATTTTTTTTTTACTTTTCAAAGAGAAGAGTGAAGTGGGGGAAGGGGTGGGCAGAGAGAAAAGTGCAACAATGAATGAATGGAAATCCAAAGTCTCTGTAAATTTTCATTAAAATGAATAATAATAATAATGAATAAAGGAGAAAAAAAAAGACCAAAGTGGATGACAAATCAGGTTCTAAAAGTTACACTGAAATGAATAGAAGCCCAAACAAAGAATTCTGAGGTAAGAGAGCTAAACAGATTTCAGAGGAAAGTTTGAGAAGACAGTGATAAATATTGTAATGAAGTGCACAAAGAGTTGGAGTTAAAAAAGCAAAAATAAGCGAATATACTCAGAGTTTTTCAAGCTGAAATAGCTGAAGAACACATTCAAGCCTCAAGTTGCAACATTCTAGGACAAAATGTTGAGCAATTTGGGAAGAATCACAAGAAAATGCCAAGAGTGTACAGAGTCACTGTACCAGAAAGAACTGGTCACACTGAGAGCCATTTCAGAAAGTGACATGTGATCAAGAACCAAGAGGACTGAAGGAAGAAGTGCAAACTTTACTGAAGGCATTGACAGAAAATTAGGCCCCAGGAGTTGATGGACTAACAGTCGATGGGATACCAAGACCAGACGCAGCCCTGAACGTGCTCACCAGTCTCTGCCCAAAAATATGGAAGACAGCTACCTTGCCAACTGACTGGAAGAGGTCCATATTTGTTCTCATTCTCAGAAAGTTGGTGCAACAGACAGTGGAAATTCTCTAACAGTATCACTGACATGATGAACAAGGATAATGTTCCTGAAGATTAACAAATAGATGGTACAATATATCAACAAAGACGTACCAGAAATTCAAACAGCATTTAGAAGAAATCACGGCTCAAGGGATATCACTGGTGATGTCAGATGGATCCTGGTTGAAAGCACTGTGTACCAGAAATAGATTTATGTGTTTTATTGATTATGCAAAGCATTTGATTGTGTGAATTAAAAAAACCCTATTAATAACTTTGAGAAGAATGAAAATTCCAGAACACTTAATTAGGCTCATGCCCAGTTTTGACCAAGACCAAGAAGCAGTTGTCCGCACACAAGGGAAAACTACAAAATTTAAAGTCAGGAAAGTTGTGCATCAGGGTTGTATAAATTCTCCATACTTATTAAATTTGTATGTGAAGCAAATCATTTGAGAATGAGAGTTGTTATGTGTCATCTAGTTGCTTGCGACTCTTAGTGACCCTATAAACAACAGCCCTGAGCCCTGCTCTGTCCTGTGCCGAACTTATTGTCTCTGACACACTTAACTCCCATTACCCCAGTCACTGAATCCATCCATCTCATCAAGGGTCTTCCTCTCTTGTGCTGTCCCTCCACCTCCCAAGTGTGAAGTCCCTCTCCAAGGACTGGTCCCTCTTTGAAACATGTCCAGAGTATGTCAGACGAAGCCTCAGAATCCTTGCCTTCAAGGAGCAGCCTGTTTCACTCCCTCCAGGATGAACCTGCTTGTTCTCCTGGCAGTCCATGGTATATTCAATATTCTTCTCCAGCACCACAGCTCAAAGGCATCAATTCTCTTTCTGTCATTCCTAGTCATTGTCCAGCTCTCTGACATTGGAGTATGTGAAGAAAAATATAGCATTAGGATTGGAGGAAGATACATCAATATGGGAAGCCAAACTTTATACCAAACATTATATGAAAACCCTTGTTCAGGAATTGAAGGAATTACAGATATATAAGTTAGGATTTCTCTTGTGGCAGATCCTAGAATATGAGCTGTTTGTTCCCTGCAAGACAGGAGACAGCAAGGGGCCCCCTACAGAGGGAGCGTTACTTCCTGAGCTGGAGTTCACCCTGAGGCATCAAGGTTAATAGTTAAGGGTAAACCAAATTCTTGCATTTGTGAACCCCTCCTTCCTGAGTCAAGCAGAAGGTTTTCAATAGAAAGAGCTTGGCTTCATTTGCATTTAATTCTCTTTGTGATTTACTTCCTGGTAATTTTCAATAAAGACACAGAGAAGCTTGACTTGGGGTCTTCAGTCGAGAACTGCTGGCCCCCTGTTTTATGCTCTCTGTTCTATCACATTCCTGGCTGTTTGTCTCTTTATTAATAATTATAAAATTATTCCATTCTTTGGGACCCTCGGTCTGCAACACATCAACAACTTGTATTATGTAGACGGCATGACCATGTTTGCTGAAAATGAAGATTTGAAATAATTACTGCAGAAGATCAAAGACTAAAGCTTTTGCTACGGATTACATCTCAACATCAAGAAAGTAAAAATTCTCACCACTGGACAAATACACAATCTTAATATAGATGGAGAAAAGAATGAAGTCATTAACAATTTCATACTACTTGTGTAAACTATCAACTCCCAGGGTAGCAGCAGTCAAAAAAACCAAAGACATCGTGTATTGGGGATATGTACAGTCAAGGGTCTCCCCAAAGTGCTAAAGAGAAACGATGTCAGTTTAAAGACCAAGGTGGGCCTGATCCAAACTATGGTATTTTCCACACCAAATCATGGGTATTTTCAGATGTTTGCTGTATTTCTGGAAGTTGCACAATCAATAAGAATGACAGAAGCAGAATTGATGCCTTTGATTTGTAGCTTTGGTGAAGAGGATTGAATATACTGTCAATTGCCAAAAAAAACCCAAAAACCAAACCCAACCTAAATCTGTCTCAGACAAGATACAATCAAAGTGTTCTTTAAAGGAAGGAAGGAAGCTGAAACTTCATCTCGTTTACTTTGGGTATATTCTCAGGAAGAATCCTTTTTTGGTGAGACACCTCATGCTGGGAAAGGTGGAGGGTCAACAAAAGTGGAAAAGGTCCTCAACAAGATGAATTGATACAGTTACCGCCGCAGTGGGCTCGAGCGTGGCACAGGCACGGAGCATAACTCAGGATAGAGACATGTTCTGACCTGTTGTTCATAGGGTCACTATGAGTCGTAGCCTACTCCATAATAAAAATAACAATAACAATGGTTAAAACGTATCCAAAGAACTAAAGAAAACCTTATCAGAAGAAGTCAAGGGCTGTAGGAGATAACCAAAGAAAACTACGAAAAGATGTCTCATCAAACAGAGAATAGTGGAAACCGAATAGAAAACCTGAAGTTGAAAAGTTGTTGTTGTTGTTGTTATGTGCCGTCGAGTCGCTTGCGACTCATAGCGACCCTATGTACAACAGCCCTAAACTCTGCTCTGTCCTGTGCCAATCGCACTGTCTCCGACACACCTGTCCCCATTACTCCAGTCACTGAATCAATCCACCTCATAGAGGGTCTTCCTCTCCTGTGCCTGCCCTCCACCCTCCCAAGCATGATGTCCCTCTCCAAGGACCAGTGCCTCCTTACAACTTGTCCAAAGTACGTTAGATGGAGCCTCAGAATCCTTGCCTCCAAGGAGCTGCCCAATTTAATCCTTTCCAGGATGAATCTGTTTGTTTTCCTAGCAGTCCATGGTACCCTCAATACTCTTCTCCAGCACCACAGCTCAAAGGCATCAATTCTCCTTCTATCCTCCTTAGTCATTGTCCAACCCTTGATGCATAACAAGTGATTGCAAAGACCATGGTCTGTATGAGACACACCTTAGTTTCCAGAGAGACAGCATTGCTCTTCAGTAGTTTGGAGAGGTCCCTAACAGCAGGCTTTCCCATCACAATATACTTTTTTATTTTCTGGCTACTGGTGCCAAGAGTGCTGACTGTGGAATTGAAATGAGCAGAGACTCTGCAGAAGATACAAATATAATAAAGAAGGATTCTGTGAACTGGAAGATATGTAGTTTGAGATCCTTTAGTGTGAGGAAAAGAAAGAAAATAGAATGAAGACTAATAAATAGAATCTTGGAAGCAAATAGGAAGCCATCAAGTGAACCAACATATGCATAATGGGAATCTTAGGAAAAGAGAAAAAGCCAGAAGGGAGAAGGGTTGAACATGTGTTCCACTTTGATGAAAATAATTTATCTACATTTCAAAGAAGATCAACAAATTTAGTAAAACAAACTCAAAAAGGCCCACATCTACACCCATCAAAGAAAACGATCCAAAAAATAAGGAGAAGGCATCTTGAAAGTAGGGAGACAGAAGGGCCCAGTGTGAGAGGGTTGCACCAAGCAGCTGTTTGGAGAGAGGGAGTCGGTGCCTGACGTCAGAGCTGGTGGGAGGAGCAGCCGCTGCCGCCCAGGACTGAGCCCTTAGGAGGAGGGAGAAGATGGCCAGTAACCCTAGTGCTGCCGACAGCAACGTGGAGAGCTGGAAGTTCAAGAAGCTCATCAAAAGCTTGGAAGCAGCCTGTGGTGAGCCCTGTGTCCACGCCCACCCTATGCCCTCCTGGTTCCCAGACCCCTCAGGATGCCCACCCCAGCGCTGCATGGCCAGATGAGGAGCCCCAGACATCAGACAGCTCCTGCCTTCTTAATCTCTGGGTTTTAGTCCCACTCCCAGGAGCCAGGGTGTCAGCAATAGTCCTGGAAGGGTCCTTCCCTTGCTTAGGGGTATAGGGCCATGCTCCTCGGACACTGCTCCACCCACTCGTGGTAGTCCACCATTACTTTCCTTCCTCCTTAACCCCTGAAATCTTACCTCCTCAGTCTCAGGGCCCTGGGTGCTGCCACCTGAGTTGGGCACTGTTAGAAGGATTGGGCCTTGCTTCCCAACACCTTTCCCTGCCTTCCTCCATTCAGGCCCTTTTGCCAGCGTTCATTAAACGGCCTCCCCTCCCAGACCTCTGAAGCCAGAGTGGATGAAGTTAGGGCAGGAAGGAGAGGTGGCTAAACATCCTCAGTCTGACGCCCTCTAAATTTTCTGTGTCTTCATCTCCCTCTCAAAGGACTTCCTAAAATCCTGTAATTATTCTCCTCCTGTGCCAGGACCCACCTAAAAACTGAAAATGCCAATGTGGGATAGGCGGGGTGAGGGAGGTTTTGGTTATTGAGATCTTTATATGCAGAAGAAATCTTGATTGTGGGACTTTCCAATATAAACTTTAACAACAGGGTCACTTGACTTTGCTCTGACACTTCTAGGGTACAACAACAGAGTTGTTAATATGTTGTTAATATAATAATATGTTGTTAATAATGATATAAATTCATCTTGGAATTTAAAAAAAAAGTAAGGAAACAGAATGAACTTTTCAAAAACAAAGATGTCTCAGGAAGCACAGTTAATTTCTATGAGAAACGCTGGAGGCCAGAAAGCAGTGAGATGCCAGGACTCTGTGCAGGCAGCTGACGGATGTGGGAACGCGGTGGGGAAATGTTATGGCCCCCACCAGTTGTCTGGCCAGGGTCACTGGGGAGCTTAAGAACAACCCTGATGCCTTCCTCAGCAGACCCAGGGTCTCACAGCCGGGCCTGGGCACAGGCAGCTGGGGCGTGAGACTTGGGACAGTGGCCATCATATCTGGGTCATTCCAATCATTTAGGAGAGATGAGGAATGTGGTGTTTTGCCTACAGAGGTGTGTGTAGTCTCTGTGTGTATGTGAAGGTGTATCTGAATGTGTGTTTGTTCCCATGCAAATGCACATCTCTGTGCGGCAATGCTTTCAAGGGGCTGTGAATGGTTGTTAGAATGGGTCTTTGGAGGGGGGGGTGCATGTGTGTGTGTGTGTGTGTGTGTGTGTGTGTGTGTGTGTGTGAATAAATAAGCATGCATGAGATTTGATTTCCCAACTTTCTGTTGGAGAAGTGACTGGGATTGCTGAGAACATAATTTCTCGTGCTTCCACTAACTTCTCAGATCATGATCTTCTTGTGTCCTTGAGTGGGGGACAGTGACAGAGGTCACTACGGGGTGTATCCTGTGAGAAGTAAGTTATGTGAAGACCTGTCTAGGGCACCAGGTGTTATCACTGGAGGGTGTGGGGAGACTTGTGGGAGAGGAGGATCAGTGGGTGCCTGTTCACGCCCTCACTAGCCCAGGGGTCTGCAGAGCTAGAAAGAGTATCACAGGCACTGGAAGTGACCTGTACTCTTCGATCCCTAAACTCCCACACTGGGGAAGGCAAGAGAAGGATGTCTCCTGTGCTGTATCCTGAGCATTGCCCAGACTGGCCCCTCCCTCCATGCCCTGGGTGGTGCAAATGTTGACTAATGGGTGTTGGCTAAGAATGGAGGGCAAAGGTCATTCTTTGTCTCTTTAAAAGACTGGAGAAACAGGCTGCAGCAGGTGGGCAGCAGGTGGGCTCCCAGGAGCCAGGTTTAGTCTGAGATTCCAGGTGTGCCAAAGGTACACCAGTAGAGGAGCCCGAGCAGTGAAGCCACCATGGGGCTGCTGATGGGGGACAGTCTGGCATCCTTGGCCGTGGTCGTGGCCATCTTCCTGCTGCTGGTGGACCTGATGCACAGACGATCACGCTGGGCTGCCCGCTACCCACCAGGCCCTGTGTCTTTTCCGGGCGTGGGTAACTTGCTGCAGGTGGACGTGAGGAACATGCACCACAGCTTAGGCCAGGTGAGTCAGGTGGTCCTGGGTCACTAGACCCTGGACAAGGGATGCTAGGTGAAAACACAAGCTTTGACAAGCAGCTGGTCCAAAAGACAGAGGAGGCTCGGAGGCTTCCTGGGGGAGGAGACTCTTGTTGGGCGGAAACATGCTGTCGATTTTCAAAGAATAGATACTTTGTGGGGAGAGTAAAGAAGTCAGAGGTACAAGAGTTTGATGGGACTCAGCAGGGCTTTCTGTGCAGTGGATGACAGAAATGACGCAAGACCGAAGTCATCCTGGTCCTCCGAAGATCTGAGAATGGGTGGTAGCCGGGCAGTGAGCAGGACTGAGATTGGGGCGGTATAAGGGAGGGGTGTGGTGACTGGTTTCTAATCTCTTCCCTGAACTTTGGGACTTCCTGTCTACGGCTCAAAATCTCAAGTTTCTATTTTTAAAATGAACTGCTAGGGTCATAGAACATTTGAGTGTCTCAGAAAATCAGAGGTGGATTTTTGACCCCAGGTAAAGTTATGGACATGGAGAGGATGTGACCCTGGGTCACAAGGTCAGATTTTGTTCTTCTGCTAGTGGGCCCGGACATGAACCAAGCTTGAGAAGTTAGAATGAGTCTGTTCATGTGGGATCCTGGCTTATCGGCCCCGTGTCCCTCGGCCTGCAGCTGCGGCGCCGCTATGGAGACGTGTTCAGCCTGCAGCTGGCCTGGACGCCCATGGTCGTGATCAATGGATTGGAAGCCATGCGCGAGGCGCTGGTGGCCCGCGGTGAGGACACAGCTGACCGGCCACCTTTGCCATTCGACCAGTATCTGAATTTCGGGCCACACTCACAAGGCAAGAGATTGTAGAGAGGCGGAGTGGGGTGGGGGACAGACAGCAGCAGTGTCGGGATGCGGGCTGGGCTACCGGTGACCTGAGGAGCCAGCAAGTGGACACCACGCAACTGGCGTGAAGGATGAGGAGAGGCAGAAGGATGCGGCTCACGCAGAGGAAGGACAGTCCTGTGAGCCGCTGCTAGAGGACTGGACACGCCTTTAGCACTTGTGTGTCCCTTACCCCAGGAGGGTCCAAGGTGGAGCCTGACCAAGACAGTGGTTTGGGCAGGACAGCGGTTTAGGGAGATGGGGGCAAGCAGAACAATGATGGAGAGTGAAAGAGAGGTGTGCACAGGACAGAGAAGAGGCCAGGACAAGGGTGTAGGCGGCACAAGGGGTGGACAAATCCTGTTCAAGGCAGGGGCGGGACACCAGCTCAACTCGCATATCCACGAGATGCAGGTGGACTTCACAGAAGGGGTGGGTGGAGAGATTGGGGCACCTGTGGGACGGGGTGTGGGTGGGACTGGAGCGTGGGAGGGGCAGGGTTGAAGAAGAGGCCACTGTGGGGGCGGGGCTGCAGGCAGGACGGGTGGTGTGGACGGGACATTGGTGGGGGTGTGGACGGGACACTGGTGGAGGTGGGACGTGGCTGTGATCCGGACATTGGTGTGGGCGGGACGTGAGCCATGGGCGAGGTATGAATAGGACAGAGGTGGGCAAGGTGGGAGCTGGGCGAGGCGGGTCAGCGCCCGAACCAGCACGTTTATGCGGTGCAGGCTGGCCGTGCACGGAACAGGGCTGTGGACACATGCCTGGACGTGCGAGGGAGGGCTGCCCAGCTCAGGGGTGGGCGCTGGGACAGGTGATCGTGGAGCCTGTGACAGATACAGGTGTGAAGGAGGCAGTTATCAAAGTGTCCTGTTCAGGGGTGGGGCAGGCGGGGGGCGGGGTGTCCACTCCCAGGATGGGGTGTGGACGAGGTTAAGCAGTCCTGTCTCAAGCAGGGATGAGGTCAGGACAGGGAGTGAGGGTCATCTGGGATGGGGCTGAGGCTGGGAAAGCAGCAGGCCTGACCCTTGCAGGGGTGGTAGGTGATGGGGGGGAGCCTGTCCTGGTGGAGGGTAATCAGGCCACACAGATCTAAGGACAGAGTGGGGCCTTGTGACATCAGTGACCCGGTGGGCTGACCTGGACCTGACAGGACCCTGGAAAGAAGACTGGAATGAAAACGATGTGGGACCAGGGACCACCTAGGCCAGGATGGTGACCACATTCAGGGTGGGCTTGTCCACACACCGTCGGTGGGTGGTGCGAGGGGCGTGGTCTGATGTCCAGCTCCGCCCACGAGTCCCCTCCCTTAGGTCTGTCCCTAGCGCGCTATGGACCCGCATGGCGTGAGCAGCGGCGCTTCTCCGTGTCCACCATGCGCAACTTCGGCCTGGGCAAGAAGTCACTGGAGCAGTGGGTGACCGAGGAGGCTGCCTGCCTCTGCGCTGTCTTCGCTGCACAGGAAGGTGAGCACTGTGGCTGAGGGTCACATGGGGCGGAGGGAAAGGGGAATGGGCCCAGAGGCGCCCTGTGACCGGCACTGTCCCTCCAGGACGACCCTTCAGCCCCAATGTCCACCTGAACAAAGCAGTGACCAACGTGATCTCCTGCCTCACTCATGGGTGCCGCTTCGAGTACGACGACCCCACCCTCCTCAAGCTCATGGAGTTAGTGGACAAAGCACTGACAGATAACTCGAACTTTCTGCGCGAGGTGCAGAGTCCTGGGGGCATTAACAGGGCAGGGCAGGGCAGGCTTTCTGTCCTTGGACTGTGGGAGGCAGATATGCATTAGGGGCGCTGTGAAAGGGCTTTCCAGGTGGGGGCCACAGAGAGAGCAAAGAGGTCCTGGAGGTGCCTGGGGCCTGAGGCTGGCCCAGCTGAGAAGGTCCCCCAGTTTCTCCTGTGGTGACACAGGTGCTGAACGTGGTCCCGATCCTCCTGCGTATCCCAGTTCTGGCCAAGAAGGTTTTGGCGACCCAGAAGGCCTTCATGGACCTGCTGGATGGGCTGGTCGCCGAGCACCGGGAGACCAGAGACCGGACACAGCCGCCCCGGGACCTGACAGATGTGTTCCTGGATGAGGTGGAGAAGGTGAGGTGGATGGCTGTGCAGCATGGGGGCGGGGTAGGGTCATGGGGTGATGACTGCTGTGCAGTGTGGGCGCGGGGTAGGATCGTGGGGTGATGAAAGATGAAAGTGTTGGGGAGATAGGATTTGGAGTGGTGGGATGGGGGGCCCAGTCCTGTGGGAGCAGGGTAGGGACCCAGGTGCTTTCCCCTGGCCCTGGCTCTGACCTCCCTGCCTGACCCAGGCCAAAGGAAACCCCGAGAGCAGCTTCAACAATGACAACCTGCGCCTGGTGGTGGCCGACCTGTTCTCTGCTGGGATGGTGACCACGACAACCACGCTGGCCTGGGGGCTCCTGCTCATGCTCCTGCACCCGGATGTACAGCGTGAGGAGCCTGGGGACAATTGGCCCACTGGACACCCCTCACCCTGGGCTATTTGAACAGCAGAGTCTCCTAATTGGAGCTGTCCCTGTGGCCATGTGGACAACGCCCTATAGAGAGATTTTGGTGACAGAGGAATCAAGGTCTGCACACCCAGGCTCTGGTTCACTGGGGCTCTCTGTGTGTGCAGGCCGGGTCCAAGAGGAGATCGACGAGGTGATAGGGCAGGGCCGAGCCCCCGAGATGGCCGACCAGGCCCACATGCCCTACACCACAGCCGTGGTCCACGAGGTGCAGCGCTTTGGGGATGTGGTACCGCTGGGTCTGCCTCACATGACTCTCCGTGACACTGAAGTGCAAGGCTTCCTCATCCCCAAGGTAGGACGGCAGCCACCCTGTCCCCTGCACAACACCATCTGCCACATCTTAAGCCTGGCATGGTCTTTGCCAGGTGGACCCTCCCCAAAGGCACAGAGCTGTCCCTCCACCCTCTCCAGACACTTGCTCAAGTGCCAAGTCTGGGGGATGTGGGGTGCACACCAGAGGTGGGGTCATTCCTGTTGGAGTACAAGTCTGTTGAAAGACAAAGCAGACATGACCCCTGAATGCTGGATGGGTGCGGTGACAGCGATGGTGCCCATGGCAGACTTGTCACCTGGCCAAGTCTTGAGCACAGGGAAAGTCTCTGTGGTTTCTTGGACTGCGCATCTTGAATACATCCAGTTGTGTGAGCGGAGAGTGTATGTCCGTGTGAAGCGGTGGCTGGGGTCACCACAGCCCTTACCCAGCTTCACCCACACTGGGCATCACTTGGACAGGGGACAATGATCATCACCAACCTGTCATCAGTGCTGAAGGACGAGACCGTCTGGAAGAAGCCCTTCCGCTTCCACCCAGAACACTTCCTGGACGCCCAGGGCCGCTTCGTGAAGCAGGAGGCCTTCATGCCGTTCTCAGCAGGTGCCTGGGGGTGTCGGAATCCTCCCATCCTCCCTAAGTGGTGTCTCAGGTGAATACGATTCCAGGCTCACTGAGCCCCCCATGTTCACCCACAGGTCGTCGCGCCTGCCTCGGGGAGCCCCTGGCTCGCATGGAGCTCTTCCTCTTCTTCACCAGCCTCCTGCAGCGTTTCAGCTTCTCCGTGCCCCCTGGACAGCCTCAGCCAAGTGACCACGGCATCTATAACTTCCTACTGAGTCCAGCCCCCTACCAGCTGTGTGCTGTGCCCCGCTAGAGGCTCCAAGCCCCACCTGCTCCCCAGCTTCACTCTCACCAGCAGTAAACCAGTCTGGGGACTCCCACCCTATAACTGAGTCCTTCCTATACCTCAGACCCCAATATCCCAATAAGTATGGACAACTAGATGGAAAGGGGTGAGGGGTGCTGGGATTCAGAGTCATGTTTAGGACTCTGAGGGCTTTCCCTGGGGAGGACTAATGACAAGTCCATGTGAGCCACTTCCCTGAGCTTCCATGCCCCCTCGATAGGACCAGCACTGCTCACACAATTAAAAAGACTCACATTGGGCCAGGAGAGACTTGCAGTCAGAAAGAAGTTCAACGATATAAAATGTCTTCCAAATTCAACAGCAAAATTATTTGTCCTCTGGAATCTCAGCAAAACCATAAACCATATATGAATGAAGTGCTTTTCAGGCATATAGAGTCTAGGCCACCAAAGCTCTTCTGCTCGTATGGTGATGTCAGCTTGGCACCAACCCAGTGACCCCGTTTACAACACCGCACCACGCGCGTCTGCGCTACCCTCACATTTGCCCTGTGTTTGAGCCCCTGTGTCGTTCCGTCTTATAAAAGGAATGAGGACAGCATGGGGACAGTGTTAGTGATGTCCACTAATTCTACGAGGACGAACTGCCCCTAACAACAGCATCCACAGTACACAGCCAGGTATCATTCAGAGAGTGAAACTTCCACTGTACTCTTGCACCCTCTTCTACCAATTCCAAGAGGAATCCTGATGCTCTACTGGGTCCCAAATATGTTGCAATAGGTACACAGACTTCACAGCCATACTCAAGATTGTGTGATTTATTAGGGAAGTTGTTGTCTTTGTGAGGGACTGTTGAGTTCACCCTATGAAGTGCGGAGCAAGCTTACCCTATTCTGTGCGGTTCTCATCATCTCTGATATACTTGAGCCCATTGTTACAATCACTGTGTCAATCTATTTTGTTAAGACTCTTCCTCTCTGTCATTGACCTTTCACCTTTCCAAGCATGAGTTTTTCTTCCAAAGAATGGCCCATTCTAACAACACGCCCAAACCATGTAAAATGGCATTTCACCATCCCTGCCTCTATAAAGAGTCCACTGGTTGCACTTTCCCCAAGAAATATTTGTTTGATCTTTTGGCAGCTCTTGGGATATTCAGCGCTCTACAAACAACACAGCACAAAGGCAGTCTGTCATTCCTATTCATTGTCCAAACTTCAAATGCGTAGCAAGTAATTGATAAGATAATTTCTTGAATGAAGTGCACCTTAGTCTTTAAACGGACATTGTGCTCCTCTACACCTTAGAAAAGGTCCTGACAGTAGATGTTCCCAATGCAAAATAGCATTTGATTTTTTAACTGCTAGTGCTAAATGTACTAGCTTATTTGAGTTGGTGCAGGGAAGATGTCTTTCTTTTGGAATATGATTTTATCTCTATCTATCATCCATCTATCTATCTATCTGTCTATCTATCTATCTATTATCTATCTAATGCAATTCATTTTTCTAGCTACTGCCTCAATAAACTGACATTGTAGTAGAAAGAGATAAAACAGTGGTGACAGCATAAATCACTGATAATGTAGAGGATAAGTTGTTTGATACCATCAAGCTGTAATGTATTTGTTGAAATTGTATAATGCAAAAGGAGAGAATTCTGCTAAGGTATCAGAAAGGTTGTGTGAAATCACTTAAGACTTTTCTAGGTATGCTGGGAAGCAGGAGTGGCATCCACTTCCTAAACTAGATACCTCTGGAAACTCTACAAACTCCTCAAACTCTATAAATGTTCAGAAATGATGTTAGTTATAGAACAGAGTTCAGGTCTTTCGTGCAGAGCATACTCTGAGTCGTATGTGACTTGACGACACTTAACCACTGCTAAATGAGACTAGTGCTGTCCTATCTGGAGAAACACTCTTCCACTTTGCACATCACTCTTTGTCAATGTGCTGTATGAAGTAACCTGGGTTTACTGTGATGCTGAACCTTGTGCCTTTGGGGTATCAAATACCAGAATAGTTTTCCAGTGTGGACAGTGTTTGGTGGAGCTCCCAGTTGTAAAATAGGTTTGGAAGTAGGAGTGGCATCCACTTCCTAAACTACATGCCTCTGGAAACTCTATGAACTAGGAGAAATGACTATACTTATGGAAAGACATTAGGTCTTTTGTTCATAGAGTTTCTGAGTCGTGTTCAACTCGATGGCAATCAACAACAACAGTACCAAGGGTGTTGATTGTGGATCAAAACAATATTAATTATTGACAACTTCAATCTTTTTTCCATTCTAATTTCTCATAATATTGAGAAGAATGAGAATCACAGAACCCTTATTTGTTGTTGTTGTTAGGTGCTTCTGAGTCAAGTATGATTCATAGTGACCCTATGACAATAGGTTTGAACCCTGTCCTATCCTGTGCCATCCTCACTCTTCCTGACACAGTAGAGTTCATTGCAGCGGTCACTGTGTCAATCCACTTGGTTGGGGGTCTTCCTCTCCTTCACTGATCCTCCACCCTTCCCAGCATCATGTCCTTCTCCAACGAATATAGCCCCTCCTAGCAACATGCCCAAAGTGTGTGAGGCAAAGCCTCATCATTCTTGCCTCCAAAGAGCACCCAGGCTGCACCCTCTCCAAGGCATATTTGTTTGTTCTTTTGGCCGTCCATGGGATGTTCAGTGCTTTTCTGCAACACTAGAGCTCAAAGGCATCAGTTCTTCTGTTATCCTTATTGTCCATCTCTCAGATGCACAGCAAGTGATCAGAAAGACCATGGCCTGAATCAGATGCACCTTGGTCCTCAAGCAGACATCATTACTCCTCAATAATTTGGAGAAGTCGCTAACTGACTATTTTCCCAGTGTAGTATGTCTCCTTTTGCTTGACTGCTGGTACTAATTGTGCCAGATCTAATTGTGCATCCAAGCAAGATGAAGCTGTTGACAGTTTCAATCTCTTTTCATGATGTTTTCATCTTGATGTTACCTATCAGTCCAGTGGTAAGAATTTTTGATTTCTTGATGTCGAATGCAATCCATATTGATGGCCGTATTTGTTTGTGGGGTTTTTTGTGTGGGGTTTTTTTTAGGGTTTTTGGCATTTGGTATATATTTAATTCTTTTTTTGAAAAATAAAAATTTTGTTTTAGACTGAATGCTCTCCAGTCCCTCCCAAGTTAGGCAGTGATTTTCAAAATCATTGCTCCTGCATGCTGCATAGTATTCCATTGTGTGAATGTACCATAATTCTCAATCCATTTGATTGTGGTTGGACATTTGGGCTGTTTCCATTAAGGTTGTATTTTTTGATCTTTTGCAACAAGTGTTTCAAGTCTCCTCCCTTTCAGCAAGCAAGGTTGTGTCGTCTACATAATGCAGGTTAATGATAAGTCTCCTTCAGATCTAATGTCACATTCTGTTGTAAACCAAGGACATAAAAGAGACAGGGACACCAGGACTGAGAAAAAACAGAGAATGTGAAGCAGGGGGTAAACAGTTTGAAGACTGAAACCCAGAACTCTGTAACTATTGAGAAACCCCAAGGAGCAAATCACAAAGAGAATTCTATGCATATGAAGCTGGACTCTTTCTATTGAAAACCTTATGCTTGACTCAGGGGGGAGGGGTTGACAAATACAATCCAAGAAATGGAAACACCTTTAGTTCTGCCTCGGTGCTTGACTCCTGTCACCTGTCTCAGGAGGCTTGTATTTACACCTCCCTCAAATCCTGATACAGCATTTGGTTTATCGTTTAGATTAATATTTATTTTTACATTTGGCTTTTATAACATTTCACTTCATAGAGCCCTGCTTGTCTAATAATTTGTTCATCATACAGATTAAATAGATAATAATTAAGAGAACATATTCATGCTCATGCAAATCCTATACCTAGTCCAAGAAGCTGTTGTTCAAGCACAGGAACACTGCATGATCTACAATCAAGAAAGGTGTGCATCAAGGATGTCTATTTCCGTGCTCGCTTCGGCAGCACATATACTAAAATTGGAACGATACAGAGAAGATTAGCATGGCCCCTGCGCAAGGATGACACGCAAATTCGTGAAGGATGTCTATTTCCTCCGTGCTTATTCAATTCATATGCTGAGCAAATCATTCAAGAAGCTGGGCTTTTTGAAGAGGAATAAAGCATCAGGATCAGAGGAAGAAGGCTCTTCAAAAACCTGTGTTACCTTTCCGTCCCTGTCGCCGCGGAGGTCGCACGTGCGAGGTCTGCCCGCCGCCACCTATCTTCTGGCCGCCCTTGGGGGCAATTCCTCCCCCAGCGCCAAGGACATCAAGAAGATCCTGGACAGCGTGGGCATCGAGGCCGACAACGACCGGCTCAACAAGCTCATCAGTGAGCTAAGTGGGCAGAACATTGAAGACGTCATTGCCCAGGGTATTGGTAAACTTGCCAGCATGCCTGCTGGTGGTGCTGTGGCCGTCTCCGCAGGCCCTGGCGCTGCAGCTCCTGCTGCCAGCTCTGCCCCAGCTGCAGCAGAGGAGAAGAAAGAAGAGAAGAAGGAGGAGTCTGAGGAGTCAGATGATGACATGGGCTTTGGCTTGTTTGACTGAGTCCCCTTCGTGCAAATAAAGCCTTTTTCTGTAAAAAAAAAAAAACAAAAACCCAGCCTGTGTTACATAATGACAGGACTTCACTTGCTGAAAGCAAGGAGGATTTGAAACGCTACCGGCAGAAGATCAAAGACTACAGACCTCAATGTGGATTACATCTCAACAACAAGAAAACAAAACTCTCACCATTGACTCAGTAGATAGCATCGTGATACGTGGAGAAAAGACTGAACTTTTCCATGATTTCATCTTTCTTGTATCTACAATAGTCTAATAGTACTAATAGTCAAGAAATCAAAAGACGTGTTGCTCTGGGAAAATCTTCTGCCATTAGGGCAGTTCACAGGCTGCAATTCAGTTTGGTGACAGAAGACAGTATCTTTTTTAAAAAATCATTTCCATTTCATTCAATAAGACAATTTCTTTACATAGCCAGATCTAGCTTCCATAAAGTCATACATATCCAGTGTCTTTACAAGGATCAGTGTTATACCAAATAATAATTTAGTTTTATTATTAGGAGGGAAAAGCATATCGAAATCTGCATAGAGAACTACTATTGTCCAATATAGAGAGAGCTCAGGTGGTAAGAAGGTGCACTGCAATCCTGAAGGCACTGGTTTGAGGCCACCAGCTGCTCTGTGGGAGAATCATAGGCAATCTCTTGCCGTCCGATTAACTACCTCAGAAAATTCACTATGGAGGGTCAGCTATGGATCGGTTCCTAGTTGACGGCACACAACAACAACAATACACAATTTCGGGGAGCTCTATGACCTAACCGTCAAGGAGGTGCACTTTCAGAGAGAGGAGAGTTACTAAATCTTGCTCAACGGCTCTTTTGTCTTCAGCTTTGTGGGTTTAGGTCACTGTTAAAAAGCTCTACATTGTACCAGTTACAAGGTCTCCACCTAGTCCTCCAAAAAGCTCGGACAAATAGCTCTAGGGGACAATAGTCCCAAGTCAGTTCTGCCTCATGTCAGTCTCTGCTGTGAAAGCTGGCACTCACCTGTAGATCTGACTGGTGCCTGAGTTTCTGGCCCCTAAGCTGCTTTCTCTGCTATTTCTACATTGCAGGTGATGAGATTCCCAAGTTATGCTGCTCAAGCTGCTCAATTTAAGCCTGGCAGAGTGGTGAAACTGGCCAGTCCCTTGTGTGTAGACCGTATTTGCATGCTCCTGTCCAGCCGTGTGGCAAATCAGTGTCAATGGTCTAGGAAAGGCATTCTGAGCAATAGGACCACAGCAGCACGCATCTCAGCGAGGGTCTCCATCGTTCTAGCTGACTCTTTGCATTATGATTTCTTTCTTCAGGGCATGCCCTGCCTGAAAACTTATTAAAGTATGTGATACAAGATCTCACCAGTCTCAATTCTAAGGTGCTTTGTGGTTTTAGGCAAAAAATAACAGTGGTAGTTCATAGTCTCAGCTCAAAGCTCATGGCTGCCCAGTGGAACAAACTCATGGCTGATCCTGCAACAGATTTCTGAAGCAGCTAATTGCTGCAGGAGAGATTGCTTCTCTTTCTTCCCAAGAATTACTGTTGTTGTGATGTGCAGTCGAGTCACTTGCGACTCATAGCAACCCTATGTACAGAAGGCCTGGAACCGGCTCTATCCTGGGCTCATTTACTGTCTCTGACACACCTACCCTCATTATCCCAGTCACTGAGTCAACACATCTCATTGATGGTCTTCCTCTCTTTCTCTGTCCCTCCACTCTTCCAAGCGTGATCTCCCTCTCCAAAGTATGTCAGACGAAGCCTCAGAATCCTTGCCTCCAAGAATAGATCATCCAAAAAGCTAAAAAGGAAAAACTTCAGAAAAGGATGTCTAGCGTGTCTGACAGGCAGTGAGTGCATGGGCCCGTCTGCGCCCAGGAGCCAGCAATCAGGGCACTGCCAAAGAAGGGGCAGCCGGCAGGAGTGGCCTGGCGGGCACCCAGGCCTGGGAACATGTGACCTGGCAGTAGAAGTCGTGTTACTTTCTGGGCTTCCCCTTCTTATTAATGTGGAGACTGGACTCAGAGTGACAGAATTACAATTTCCTAATAAGTTAAAATAACTTCCTAAGAAGTTATTGAGGAGTCATGATGTCAGTTTGAGGACTAAAGTGCATCTGATTCTGGACATCATCTTTCCACTTACTAGCTAAGCACCCAAGACCTGGACAATGAATAAAAATGACAGAAAAAGAATTGACGCCTTTGAACTGTGGTGTTTGTTGGAGAAGAGCACTGAACACCCCATGGACGGCCAAGAGAACGAATAGGTAGGTCTTGGAGAAGGTCCAGCCAGAGTGCTCTTTGGAGGCAAGAATGATGAGGCTTTGTCTCACACACTTCGGGCATGTTACTAGGAGGGGCTATTCCTTGGAGAAGGACATGATGCTGGGAAGGGTGGAGGAGGGTCAGCTAAGAAGAGGAAGACCCTCAACCAGCAGGATTGACATGGTGACTGCTGCAATTTACTCTTGTGTGTCAGGAAGTGTGAGGATGGCGCAGGACAGGAGCAGGGTCAGATCTTTTATTCATTCGGTCTCTATGAGTCTATTCGGTCTATGAGGGGTCAGCAAATACAATGCAAGAATCTGGTCAACCCTTAAGCATTGCCTCAGTGCCTCAGGGTGAACTCCGGCTTGTACCTCACCTCCCTCACATCCTGAAATAGCATTTGGTTTATTACAAATATTTAGTACTGATTTCCCATACTTGAGTTACCACAGTATTAAAAATGTCTATTTTCCAGCAACAACAGCAGCAAAATCAAGGCACACAAACAAGAATAGCCCACAGACATAGAAAGAGAGACTCAAGAGAAATGGTAGCACTTACTACACAATGGCTTCATGTCAGCTGGTTTAAACCCAACCAAATGAAGGAACCATATTAAGGGTAGATTTGATGCATTGAATACTAATGACCAAAGAACAGAAGAGTGGTGGAATGACAGCAAGGATAACGCACACGAAGGAAACAAAAGGTCATCACAAATCCCTTTCGTAAATAAGATCAGGGCAAAGAAACTTGCATGGACACCAAAAGACTCTAAAACTCACACTGGAACAAAACCAAGCCCTAACCAGAGGAGGATATGCTGAGGTAAGAGGCATGAAAAGAGGATTTCCAAGGTCAGCTCAAAAAGTTGTTTGTTATGTGCTGTCATCGAGTTGCTTGTGACTCATAGTGACCCTAGGCACAACAGCCCAAAACCCTGCTCTGTCCTGTGCCAATCGCACTGCCTCCAACACACCTACACTGATAAACTCAGTCACTGAATCAATTCACCTCATAGAGCGTCTTCCCCTCCTACGCCATCCCTTCACCCTCCCAAGAATGATGTACTTCTCCAAGGACTGGTTCCTCCTTGCAACATGTCCAAAGTATATTAGATGAAGCCTCAGAATCCTTGCCTCCAAGGAGCAGCCTTGTTTAACCCTCTCCAGGATGAACCTCTTCGTTTTCTTAGCAGTCCATTTTATATTCTGCACTCTTCTCAAAGGCATCAATTCTCCTTCTATCCTCTCTAGTCATTGTCTAGCTCTCTGATGCATAGCAAGTGATTGCAAAGATCATGACCTATATCAAGAAGACAAAGCAAAATATTAAAAATGAATGTGAAAAAATCTAGAATTAAAAAACTCAAACTAAAGAACAGTTACTCATGCTGAAAGATCTGAAGAACAAATTCAACCATCAAGTGCCTACACTGAAGGATTCTATGGGTAAAATCTTGAATGATGCTAGTACAAAGTGACAAAAGAAGGCAAAAACCTACAACCAGAAGAAGATAAAATAGATGAATGGGATCTTTTAAGAATCAAATCCCTATGCACATCCAAATCTTCTCCAACAGGATAAAAAGGGAAGCCACAGACTTGGGAAAAAGGACTGCAGCCTTCAGTATGGATTGAGGCTCAATGTCAAGAAGACAAAGATTCTCACCACTGGACCAATTGGCAGCATCAGGATGGATGGTAAAGAGATTGAGATTGTTAACAACTTTAGTCTGCTTGGCTCCTCGGTCAACACTCTTGGCACCAGCAGCCAGGAAATAAAAAAATGTATTGCGATGGGAAAGTCCGCTGTTAGGGACCTCTCCAGGGTACTGAAGAACAATGGTGTCACTCTGGAGACTAAGGTGCATCTGATACAGGCTATGGTCTTTGCAATCACTTGTTATGCATCAGAGAGTTGGACAATGACTATGGAGGACAGGAAGAGTATTGATGCCTTTGAGCTGTGGTGCTGGAGAAGAGTCTTGGACGGCAGCCATCCTGTGCCCTGCTCAACACCACTCGCTACGTCCTAATCCTGGCTTGATCTTCACCAAGTGGCCCCCTGACAGACACCAAATTGTCCATCCACTGTTCTGCAAGCCCAGGCTGGTGTACTAATACCAAGGGCTGTGGATATGTGGGTGCACAGGAGAGGGAAGGACAGTCCTGAGCAGAGCCTCATATTCCTGGGGGAAAAAACAGACACTTCACCGAATTCTAGACAAGCCATATTGCAGTGAGGGTGCCATGGGTGACACGTCATCCGGCTGAGCCTTGTAACTTGCTACTGGCTGCGTCCAGTAACTTCTTGGATGGAATATCCTTTGAACGTGTCCAGCTGTGACGAGCAGAGTGTGTGTGTGTGTGTGTGTGTGTGTGTGTGTGTGTGTGGTGATGGCAGGGCTCACTACAGCCCTTACCCTGCCCCACCCACACTGGGCATCACGTGGACAGGGGACAACGCTCATCACCAACCTGTCATCAGTGCTGAAGGACGAGACCGTCTGGAAGAAGCCCTTCCGCTTCCACCCAGAACACTTCCTGGATATCCAAGGCCGCTTCGTGAAGCAGGAGGCCTTCATGCCGTTCTCAGCAGGTGCCTGGGGGTGTCGGGATCCTCCCATCTCCCTAGGGGGTGTCTCAGGTGGATAGGACTCCAGGCTCACTGAGCCCCCCGTGTTCACCCACAGGTCATCGCGCCTGCCTCGGGGAGCCCCTGGCTCGCATGGAGCTCTTCCTCTTCTTC